CTGTAACTGATTATTATTTGAAATAAATTATATAGTGAAGTATATCACAAATTAGATATTATTGACAAAAATAGTGAACTATTTCACATAAATAGTAAACTATTTCACTACGTAAATAAAAATAATGAATTTTATTTTAATATAATTAACTACTTATTTGATATAATGAACTACATGTTTCATATATTAAAAATACGTAATAGTAAACTATCTATATATAGAAAAATAAAATATTTGTGAATATAACAAGTATAGTTGATTGTTTATTAATAAAGTTAACTATATAAACAATTATATGTTTATATATAGCTAACTGTACATGGATATATAACTAACTATATTTAAATATAGNTANNTATATNNACAATTATATGTTTATATATAGCTAACTGTACATGGATATATAACTAACTATATTTAAATATAGTTATTTATATTTTTAACTATAGTGAACAATTCGTGAATATAATTAATATAGTTGTCTGTTTGTGGAAAAAATTAACTATATAAATACTATATATGGGTATATAGTTAACTACACATAAATATATAAGTAATTATATTTAAAAAAAATTAACTATATAAATAACTATATATGGGTATATAGTTAACTACACATAAATATATAAGTAATTATATTTAAAAATAGATAGTTATATATCCAACTCTATACTTTGTGTATGGAGTAGATAATAGTGAGCTATTCATAAATATAACAAGCATAGTTGATTGTTTGTGAAGAAAATTAAGTACAAAGATAAGTATTTTTGGATATATAGTTAACTATATAGTTAATGGAAATGAAAAGTCTAGATAAGTATATTTAGATACATAGTTAACAATGTATATAAATATATAATTAGTAGAAATAAAAAGTCTAAACGTTTATGATGTTGATTTTTGTTTTTTTTCTAAAAATGTAAAAAGTAAAAACATTATTTATCTTTAATCATATTTTGGACATGACATAGAAGAAAATTGATATGAAAAAATGTATTGAATGAGATAATAATGAAATGAGATATGAGACTACTTACCATAACTACATTAAGAGTAAAATTAAAATCTCAAGTGATTTGAATGTTAGTTACTAAATTTTGTTTTTCTTTGATGATAGAACCAATAAGTAACATAGAGTACAATTTCCCTTAATATAAACCCTTTAATTTTGTACCTAATGCTGATGCTTTTAATGTTTAATTTTGTTTTGTGAAATACATTATATTAATGCTTATAAAACGAGTGGTTTTTGTTTTTCGATAAAATGTTAAATTTTATACAGAATTTTAAATTGTTTGATATAATAAAGAAACAACACAAAGAAAACAGAAAGAACAAAATCTATCAAAGCAAATAGACTACAAACCAAGCAAGTAAAACTAACATAAGGAAGTAGATACAAAACAACGGAGACTTTGCAGCTCTCGAACTCGTGAAAATCCTCGAAGTTGCGACGAGCTAACCGCAATTCAAGGCCAGCCCTCTAAACCTAATTCTGCTGGCTTCAAATGTTTCAAATGATTGATAACGTATGACAAATATAAAAAGAAGAAGACAAATGAGGGTATTCACGAAATTGTAATTTATACATTATTGTCAATAGAGGGTAAAAACCATATTCATTTGCTTATATGTGTGTTTACATTCTTTTGGGAGTTGTTTATAAATTCCACCTTGTGCATTGCACATAAAACCATTTAGTGCTTGTCGTTGTCTTCCTCTGTCTCACTTTTCTTAACTCATACGTTATGTCTTGTCTATCCAAAAACAAAATGTTGTTGGAAAACGTGTGAAGAACATTTTTATTTTGGGCATCCATATATCGACCTAAAGCTGTGTGAAGAACAATTCTTTTTTTACCAACGAATATATAGTTTTAGTTCTCTAGGACGGATAATTAGATTAAATTATAAGAGATTTTTCTTTCTGAAGAAGTGGTAGCGAGAGAACTTTCGTAGG